CAAAACATACTTAACTGAACTTGATCAATGATTACTGAATAAATGAACATGCTGGTTCGAAAGAATATTTATTTAACAAATATGATACTTGTGAACGGCCCGTGGCGCGTGCTACGGGCACAGCCACTCCCTTCGGCCGAAACGACACTTAACATGAAATCTCTTCGGACAACTCAAACTATTTGAACATGATACATGCATAACTGATTAAATAAACGGAGTTGGTCGAGAGATTTCAAACTAAAACTTGACATGATTGCACATAAACGACACGCACGGCTAATTCGACACAGGCACGCATACGAACTAGACTGAAGGTTGGACTAAAGAAACTTGTTAATCTCAGCCCATAATAGCACGGGAATTACCTCCGACTAAGCTCGACTAACAGCGACTTCCTCGGATTCCCGTGCTTGTGCGTGACTCTGCGCGTGTTCAACGTCGCCGTGTGGTGCTTTGCGGTGCAGCGTGTGCATGTGATAGAATTACCTTCTCCAACCTCTCAATCTCACCACTCTATATGCTGAACATTAAGGAGTATATACGGCTGAAAGTTGAGGAAAAATCCCCAAACTCATGCATATAAATAGGGTGGTGGCCGAGGAGGTGATGAACTTAAGTGGTGGCTTCACTATCTAATGCCACATATTAATCTTAGGCTTAGTCATCAATTCTTGGTGTTAGTCACCACTAATGACCCTTATTTGATGACACATCATGCTTACCAACATAAGATAAATTCTCCTCATTCCCACTTAGTGCTCACGGCACTTCAAATAATTTGGGAACTAAAAACCGAACGGCTTAATGAGCTAATTGTGTGATTAATTGCTAATTAATCACTTAATCATATTTAATTATTTAATTAAACATAATGCTTAATTACCAAAATTATTCTGAACGTAAACGGAACGTCGAAAATATTTTTTTGTAATCTTAACTGAAATGACTGAAATAATTTAATTCCAGAAATAATACCCGAAAATATTATTATGTCGGAACTAAAAACATGACTGGATACTCGTGACTGAATATTTAATTCCGGACTCATTAATTAAATAAACGAATCGGAATTAAATCTGAAAACTTATTCGGTTATTTAAATAATTAAACCGAATAATTTATCGACTAAGAGTCGAACTTGGAATATGACTAACTGATTGACTTGAACTTGAACATGAACATGATTATTTATTAACAAAGGTTAGCTTAAAACTAAAAGCTAGTATTTTCCTTTATTAATAGGGGCGTTACAATCCACCCCCCTTAAAATATTTCCGTCCTCGGAAATACTAACACTGGAATGTACAAGCT